ATTAAAAATAAAAACATAAAATTTAAAAATCCCTTTTGAAAAAAAATGTCAATGTATATAGGATAAGGTTGGGGGTGGAGTTGGGTTTAAAGGGCCATGAAAAACTGTACATATTAGGGGTGGGGGAAGTTCTGCCACCACCACTATCCACAAACAATATATAACTAATTAAAAATAAGAAATATTTATTTTTTAAATTTATAAATAGAAGCAAGTTTATTCAGGATTACAAATACAGTTCCCTACAAAGATTATCACACATAGCAGCTAATGCAAAGTACCTAAATAACCGAAAAAAAAAAAAGTCTGAATGATTACGATTTCCACTGGGGCCCTTTAAAACCGGTTTTTCATTGTTGGGCCGGCCAATATTTAAGCAAAAACCACGGACCCGTTTATCGCTATCAGATAGCTCATTAACTGGGGGCCACTGTTTTTTTTTGTACCCCCAGGAGGTACATCTGCCTGGGCTATACCTCCAGTATATACACTGTGGCCCACGCCATTTTATTATTACGGATGAACGGTCAGAGAACCAACAAATTTTATAGACATTGCAAATTTGGGTATTTTAAATAGGAAACGTTGACGCTCAGTGGGTTTATCAGTCCCTGCAAAGGGGAATGATGGACTGATCACATTTACTCAAAGGCTAGGAGATTACCTCGAAATCCTCCCGTTCTTCACCATTTTTTTTATGACTATGAAACCACTGTGTGGGGAAATGTTTCCTCATTTAAAAATGCCCAAAAGTTTTTACGGGGGTCTAATTTATCATTTATTTCCCCTGACTACCCTGTTCACTAGTTTTAAGGCATGACTGGGGCCCCACAGACAACGTTTTTTCTAATGCTGAAACCCGAGAAAAAGTGATGTTTTCCCTCCACCATCATCCCCCATGCATAAAACACTGCAATTTATATGGTATGCAAATGCTTCGTATTTTTAAGAAAATATCATAGATGGATTAAGAAAATGTCAATATTAATGTAAAAAGGCATTTAAAGTCCCCTGGTAGTCATGAACATGAGAGGCCCCAAGGGACACGCTGAATTTGGGCAATTTCGAACAAGTAGAAACCGAGCAAAATTTTGCCAAAAAAAATGGTCAAAACCAAATCATCGATTCCGTGAAGACGAAATCCAGGGTTCCACCCTAATAACCCTTTCTAAGCACCATACAGAAATTTTTTGGTGTTGAATTCAAGTGTGAATGGGCGTACTTTTTTTCACAGTCCCCCGCCCCTCAGTATTTTTTTTTTTTTTTTTTTTTTTGGGCCTTTAGAATTTACCCGCCTAAACTTTGTCCAAGGTACACTTAAAGCAGGGAGAATTTAGCCAATAATGGCTGACTAACATTACTTATGAACATGGAGCTCTCCAATGGTCATTTATCTCATACAAAGCCTTTTTTTATTATTACTTTCTTTCCCAAATGAGGATTTAAAATCCCCTAAAAGACATTTTTTTGTCAAATTTTTTTGTCTAAACAAATAAAATGGGATTTTACCCAATTCCACCCTACCCTTTGACACAGTGCTTGTAAATAAAATTATCACTTTTTATCTTTTTAAAAGACAAGGGATGCAGGCCTACTGACACATGATATACTTTCCCACATAAGAAAGGGGCCCCTTTTTATGCAAGCATTTTGGGGGCAAATTTCATCAGTTTTGCCCGGATCGACCACACTAGTTGCTGGGACCCCGGGGCCCCTTTTTTTAGGTGGATGAACACGGGCAACCAGGGAAGGAAAAAACGGCCAATGTTTTCAACCCTCGCCGGGGATCAAAATGGGTCATCACCTTGTGAAGCGAGAGCTTTTGCCACCATACCCGAGGGCCCCCTTGGTCTCTTTACATACTATGCATAACTTGGACAAACTTATTTTGAAAAAGGTTTAGAGAAAAACTTTGTGGCAGATCCCAAAGCCCCAAAGTTGCTCTTGTTTTAATTCTGGTGTAATTTGAGTCAAGATATGTTTACAACATTTCCTCAGCAACCCACAATTAACAAATCTGCAAATTTACCCTGGTGATATTTTTATCTGGGTTAGAAAAATGCTAAGAAAACTAGGGTAAACTTGTTACAGATCTCCTTATTTTATATCTGAGTGTACAAACAAGCCCCACAAAATCTGGATAAACGAAATTTGATATATAACTAGGAAATGCATCTAGTTTAAAAGGGCAATATAAATATGTGGAATAACAATTAGGGGCATCCTTTCCTAGGCAGTGGAGGAACAGTGAATGAAGCAATCGCATACCAAACTCACTACACATTCCCAGAGGACGTGTGCTAAATAGTCAATTAAGAAATTACTAAAGTTTTTCAAAAAGGGTGGATCAAAATTAGTAACAGAGTTACACTCTTGATGCTGTAATAAACAATGAGCAAGCACATCTTTACCAAACTATACTAATTTCTTAAGTGCAGAGAATACACTGCATATCACTCGTAAACATCACAAACTGAATTAATGCACATTTTCTTACTTTTAGGGATTTAATTTGTTTTTTGTATCAGAACAATATCTTTAAAAACAGTATTTAAAAATTGCTTTACAAATCTTATCACTGCCTTGAGGTAAAGACACAGCATGGAAGAGTCAACCTGCCCAATTTATGAATGTATACATAGTCCCTAAAAATTTCCCACTGAGGATTACTTTCATATGGTAAAGCGAAACTAGATACTGCTATTAAAAAAAAAGTTAATACTGACATTCCTAAAAAACAACAATAAACAGAAAAAATAGGCACTGGAAAGCCAATGAGTCAGAAAAAATATTGGATAATATTAAATCCATTCACTAATTGCCCTTCATTTAAAACGTTGATAAATCAAAATTTCTAAATATGAAAGTATACAAATTTGTAGGGACAATTGTCAAGTGCAGGAAATACAAAAATTCATCAGCAAAATGAGCGATATTTTAATAGGGTTTGTATAAAGTGAACATAGATAAGAAAAAAGGTGATGATGGTATCAAATGATTTAGATAAAGAAAAATTGGATATCACATTGGAGAGTAGTAGTATGGAAGAAGTGAATGTTTTCAGATAATTGGGGAGTTGATGTGTCAGCATATGGGTTTATGAAGGATGAGGTTAACCACAGAATTGACGAGGGAAAAAAGGCGAGTAGTGCATTGAAATATGTATGGAGACAAAAAAAGTTATCAATGGAGGCAAAGAAGGGAATGAAATGAAAGTATAGTGGTACGAACACTCTTAAATGGTGTGAAGCTTGGGTTTTAAATGCTGCAGCGAGGAGGCGGTTGGAGGCAGTGGAGATGTCCTGTCTAAGGCAATGTGTGGTGTAAATATTATGCAGAGAATTTGGAGTGGGAAATAAGGTGGTGTAGAATTAATAAAAGTATTAGTCAGAGGGCTGAAGAGGTTGTTGAGGTGGTTTGGTCATTAGAAAAGAATGAATCAAAGTAGAATGACATGGAGAGCATATAAATCTATATGGGAAGGAAGGCTGGGTAGGGTCGTCCTTGAAAAGGTTGGAGGGAGGGGGTAAAGGTTGTTTTGTGGGCGAGAGACTTGGACTTCCAGCAAGCGTGCATGAGCATGTTCGATAGAAGTGAATGGAGACGAATGGTTTTTGGGACCTGACGAGTTGTTGAAGTGCGAGCAGGGGAATATTTAGTGAGAAGATTTCAGGAAACCAGTTATTTTATATAGCTGGACTTGAGTTCTGGAAATGGAAATGTAATGCCTGCACTTTAAAGGAGGAGTTTGGGATATTGGCAGTTTGGAGGGATTGTAATAGGACGGTATATATAAACTGGGGCCCTGATATTATATTCTATAGGGAGTTTATTATATTAATTCAGGTCACTTTTTGTATTGTATCTTTATATGTGCTTCCAAACTGTTGTATCTGGGCACCTCTACAAAAACAGTGATTATGTATGAGTGAGGTGAAAGTGTTGAATGATGATGAAAGTATTTTTGTTTTGGGGATTTTTCTTTTTGGGTCACCCCGCCTAGGTAGGAGACGGCTGACTTGTTGAAAAAAAAAAAATATATAGGCTTTCACATTTGTGCAAAATTCTTTAAATATATAATAAATTTAAAATGAAGGGTGAGGATATAAAACCAACCTTCACATAAACCCCAAAATTTAAAACTGTTCCAGTAAAAAGTATTCTGAGCTAAGAAAGTTAAACAGATAATTGGAGACATTCACCAAACTCAGGGAACATGTGTAGCAAATCTGATTTAGCTCTACCTGGTCCTCAATCCAGTGGCTCTTACATTTGTTAGGGAGCTACACTGCCTAATTATAACAAACTATCAATGAATTGGTAAGTAATTTAAAATTAAAAAGAAACTTAAGCTACTGCAATGAAACAAGTAATGGGAAGATGTCAATGAAAGCTACAAAGCCCAATATCTAATTAAAATACATACACAATAATGTTATACTAGCAAGAACAAAAAAAAAATAGATAAAGAGAGCCAAATGCAGAAAAAAACAACTGGAGAAGAAATGGTATTTGTCTGGAGACATTGGAAAATCTGACCAGGAAACAATTTGGGATTTTTAAAATTTGCAATTAATTCTATAAACATCTGAAAATGAAAATCCCCAAAGGAATGAGATGATTAGTTGTAAAGCAGCCACCAGGGAACCTTTAACACCTTACAATTACAAGGTATCACAATGTCAGTGCATAACTAAAGTGGAAGTGTAAAGGTAATCTTCTCCACTATTAGTCCTAGTGCTACACATTTTATTCCTGTGTAAGCATGTAGACCATGTTTCACTCATTTGTTTATAAAAAACATCTTAAGGTAACCAGGCACTTGGTGTCAGTATCATTCTCCTATAAATTACAAATATACCCACCTTTGGTTGAGTGGAAGGATGCAAAGCCCAACACATCTCTCATCTGCTTCTCCTCTGCTGTTAATTCTTGTACAGGAGAATCTAAAAAGAAACAGTTGGATAATTAACTGATTAAAAACTATCAATCTATCGCACTATCAGTAATTGGTTATCTCCTTGTAAAACAATATTGTAAAACCCTAACAGAGATAACAGTTATCAACAACCACTAATATTAGTGCCTTGTGACTCAACCTGGGGCATTTAACAAACATTTACCATATAAAGTTCTATCCCAAAAATTATTACAACCCAAAGTTAGTCTAAACAAACCCAAGTTGCATTCTCTAAGCTGGTTTCCAATATATCATTGTGCAATTAACGCAACACTTAATTCAAATTAATTTGCCTTCCTTTTCTACCATGCGTGTACAGTAATAAATATGAGAACAATATACTTGAGATAGCATAAAATAATCTTAAATACTAAGGTGAAATGCATAGCCATTGCATGAATATTCTAAAGTACAATACTGTACTATATAACCAGTTTCACTGAAATCTAACTAAAAATTGTCGCATATCTGTCGAATGGTTCTACAGCGCAGCTTCAGACCAAATCTCTTTAAATCAGAATGGAAAAAAATTACATGAAAAACAAGATTAAGAAACAAAATTAAGAGAATAAAATACTGATTGCCAGTAGCAATACTAAAAAAATTTACCTGCAGTGTTATGTAGTGAGAAAAATCAACACTTGCCTGAGTGCAAAATGTTGATCAGAATACCCTTGCACTGAAGACAATAATGGTACTTTACCTCCCTGATAATTGCAAGCCACCACCCAACTACCTAATATCACACTTGTTAAACATAACACTAACCATCGTGTCGTCCAGATGGCCCTGCCATATAAACAGGAGATCTACGATGAGACCTAGGGGACCTAGATCTTGAACGTGACCTGGAGCGAGACCTACGATCTCGTCTCTCGCGTTCACGATCTCTATCACGTCTTCCTGGATCTCTCTCCCGGGAATGAGACCTGCAATATAATATACATACACTAAATGAAACAAAAATGAAGAAATATGGAAAAATTAAATAAATTTATTAATCAATACTGAATACAAAAATATATAAATTTCAGGGAAAGAAATGAAAAACTAAACATTCTTTAGTTTAATGACCTCTCATTTATCAAGGTGTACTTTTAGGTTCTAAACACATTATTGTTAGAAAATAAACAGAACAGTACTTTTGTTTTAACACACTGGTCATCTCAAGCCGAGGCAGGGTGATCCGAAAAAGAAACATTTCACCATCATTAACACTATCACTGTCTTGCCAGACACAGATACAACAGTGTACCAGATGTCCTAAACAGCAAATACCCCCAAACCCCTCCTTTAGAGTGCAGACACTGAATTTCCCACCCAGAACTCAAGCCCAAGAATATATAAAAACAAAAAAACACAGTGGAAAGACTCCAGATCAAAAGAACCTTAAACAACAATTGGTAGAGGCACCTTAAGATTCCACAAATATTTTGCTAAGCTGTCACCATCAGTCCAGTTGCACTTGATACTACAGGAATACATTTTCAAGTAAAAACTAAATACAGTGGAACCTCTACTTGCGAGCGTGTCCACATGCAAGTTTTTCCAAATACAGTGGACCCCCGGCATACGATGGCATCGCGTTACGTTAAATCCGGCATACATTTTAAGGGCAAAAATTTTTGCCTCGCCTAAATGTTAAAAAACTCGCCTCCCCGCGATTCGTTTGGGAAAGCATCCCCGTGTGGCCTCAGCGCCAGTTTTTCACAAGCCAGCAGTGCGGTCGATCTACGCATACTTTTGGGTACATTCACATTATCCCGTGTTTTTAGTGCTTGTAACTACAAATTAAGTCACCATGGACCCCAAGAAAAGCTTCTAGTGCCATCCCTATGGTAAAAAGGTGAGAATTAGTAGGGAAAATTTAAAAAAAGAGATTAAGGAAATGTGTGCAAAGGGGCTTGAAGTGAAAAACCTTTATGTATGAAAATCACCCTCACACAGCTATTGCAAGCCGTGCTGGTGACTATTACAATGACAATGTTGTAAAACCACTTTAGACAAATTGTGAAGGAACGAGAGGTACAGAGCTCTATGGACAGATATGTTGTGCAACATGGGCTAGTGACTCTCAAGCTGGTCCTAGTGGCATTAAAAAGAAGGGAAGTAACCCCAGAAAAGGACTTGATACCTCAAGTCCTAAGGGAAAGGGATTCCCCTTCTAAACAAAAAAGTTCGACACTCTCCCTCCTCCCATCCCATAAATTCACCACCTGATCTTCTTTAAAAGGGTAAGTGTCATGTATTCTACTGTTAGTAGAGTACACTAACTGTGCATGTCTTCTTCAGTTTGTGTGCATTAAACTTAATATTTCATGTGGTAAAACTTTTTTTTTTTCATACTTTTGGGTGTCTTGCTTTGGATTAATTTGATTTCCATTATTTCTTATGGGGAAAATTAATTCGCCTTATGATAATTTCGGCATACAATGAGCTCTCAGGAACAGTTTTAATATCGAAATGCTGGGGTCCACTGTACGAGAAGTCGATGGTCGATTTTTGCAAAATTTCCACAAGGCAGGTTCCTTGACACTAGTGAGGGTCTCTTGCTCTTGATCTCGGGAAGTGTGTGTCTTATTTGTTTGTTGGACTATCTTATTGAAACTTGGGCAATGTATGATGGAAAGATGGTTCTTAACATACACCAAAATTGAAAGAAATCTAAGCATAGATAATGGAGTTCACTTCACAGCAATTAGCCACCCCTTAGCGGTAATTTCGAATGGTTTTTATGGTTGTATTCTCATTTTTTTGGGTCTCATTTGATAGAATGGAAGATATATTACAGAAATCGATATGATTTGATTGCTTTCACGACGAAAAGTACCTTGAAGTTGAGCTCAACGTAGGAGAAATGGTCCATTGCTTGGCTATGTTCCAGAGTAAACAAATGATGTCACTGTCCAATTCCAATATGCAGTCGTGAATGGGTTGACATTATTTATACAATATTGCAAATAAGGAATAACAGTAAATCTTTTATTTTTGTGTGAAAAAAAATTACAAATTTATATGTGTGTGAATAAAAATTACAAATTTATATAATATGAGAACTTTTAAATGTTAAGGAAGAAACAGAGGCAGTAATTTCATGCACTGGTCAGGGAGGTATACCATCTTTTAGGAGTGAAGAAGAGCAGAATGTAAGTGTGGGGGAGGTACGTGAGGCATTACGTAAAATGAAAGGGGGTAAAGCAGCTGGAACTCGTGGGATCATGACAGAAATGTTAAAAGCAGGGGAGGATATAGTGTTGGAGTGGTTGGTACTTTTGTTTAATAAATATATGAAAGAGGGGAAGGTACCTAGGGATGGCAGAGAGCATGTATAGTCCCTTTATATAAAGGGAAAGGGGACAAAAGAGACTAAAAATATAGAGGAATAAGCTTACTGAGTATACCAGGAAAAGTGTACGGTAGGGTTATAATTGAAAGAATTAGAGGTAAGACAGAATGTAGGAATTGCGGATGAGCAAGGAGGTTTCAGAGTGGGTAGGGGATGTGTAGATCAAGTGTTTACATTGAAGCATATATGTGAACAGTATTTACATAAAGGTAGGGAAGTTTTTATTGCATTTTATGGATTTAGAAAAGGCATATGAGAGAGTGGATAGAGGAGCAATGTGGCAGATGTTGCAAGTATATGGAATAGGCGGTAAGTTATTAAATGCTGTAAAGAGTTTTTATGAGGATAGTGAGCTCAGGTTAGGGTGTGTAGAAGAGAGGGAGACTACTTCCTGGTAAAAGTAGTCTTAGACAGGGATGCGTAATGTCACCATGGTTGTTTAATATATTTATAGATGGGGTTGTAAAGGAAGTAAATGCTAGGGTGTTTGGGAGAGGGGTGGGATTAAATTTTGGGGAATCAAATTCAAAAATGGGAATTGCACAGTTACTTTTTGCTGATGATACTGTGCTTATGGGAGATTCTAAGAAAAATTGCAAAGGTTAGTGGATGAGTTTGGGATGTGTGTAAAGGTAAAAGTTGAAAGTGAACATAGAAAAGAGTAAGGTGATGAGGGTGTCAAATGATTTAGATAAAGAAAAATTGGATATCAAATTGGGGAGGAGGAGTATGGAAGAAGTGAATGTTTTCAGATACTTGGGAATTGACGTGTCCGCGGATGGATTTATGAAGGATGAGGTTAATCATAGAATTGATGAGGGAAAAAAACGTGAGTGGTGCGTTGAGGTGTATGTGGAGTCAAAAAACGTTATCTATGGAGGCAAAGAAGGGAATGTATGAAAGTATAGTAGTACCAACACTCTTATATGGATTTGAAGCTTGGGTGGTAAATGCAGCAGCGAGGGGGGGGGGGGGGACGGTTGGAGGCAGTGGAGATGTCCTGTTCAAGGGCAATGTGTGGTGTAAATATTATGCAGAAAATTCGGAGTGTGGAAATTAGGAAAAGGTGTGGAGTTAATAAAAGTATTAGTCAGAGGGCAGAAGAGGGGTTGTTGAGGTGGTTTGGTCATTTAGAGAGAATGGATCAAAGTAGAATGACATGGAAAGCATATAATCTATGGGGGAAAAGGAAGGCGGGTGGGGGTCGTCCTCAAAAGGGTTGGAGAGAGGGGTAAAGGAGGTTTTGGGGGGCAAGGGGCTTGGATTTCCAGCAAGCATGCATGAGCGGTTAGATGGGAGTGAATGGAGACAAATGGTACTTGGACCTGACGATCTGTTGGAGTGTGAGCAGGGAAAATATTTAGTGAAGGGATTCAGGGAAACCGGTTTTTTTTCAAATAGTCGGACTTGAGTCCTGGAAATGGGAAGTACAAATGCCTGCACTTTAAAGGAGGGGTTTGGGATATTGGCAGTTTGGAGGGATATGTTGTGTATCTTTATATGTGTATGCTTCTAGACTGTTGTATTCTGAGCACCTCTGCAAAAACAGTGATAATGTGCGAGTGTGGTGAAAGTGTTGAATGATGATGAAAGTATTTTCTTTTGGGGATTTTTTTTTTTTTGGGTCACCCTGCCTCGGTGGGAGACGGCCGACTTGTTGAAAAAAAAAAAAAAATGTATAATAATAATAATACATATAATAATAATAGTATAATAATATAATAATAATACAATTATAATACATGTATAATTAATAATACATCTTTCTTTTCAACACAACGGCTGTATCCCACCGAGGCGGGGTGGCATATAATACATTTTTTTTTTTCCAACAAGTCAGCCGTCTCCCACCGAGGCAGGGTGACCAAAAAAAGAAAAAAAAATCCCCAAAAGAAAAATACTTTCATCATCATTCAACACTTTCACCACACTAACACATTATCACTGTTTTTGCAGAGGTGCTCAGAATACAACAGTTTAGAAGCTACACATACAAAGATACACAACATCCCTCCAACTGCCAATATCCCAAACCCCTCCTTTAAAGTGCAGGGGATTGTACTTCCCATTTCCAGGACTCAAGTCCGACTATATGAAAAAACCGGTTTTTTTCCCCGAATCCCTTCACTAAATATTACCCTGCTTACACCCAACAGACGTCGGTCCCAAGTACCTTGTCTCCTTTCACCCTATCTAACACGCTCACGCACCTGCTGGAATCCAACCCCTTGCCCCCCAAAACCCCCTTTCCCCCCTTCCCAAACCCTTTCGGGGACGCCCCCTACCCCCCTTCCTTCCCCTAATTTTTTAAAAATCTTTCCATGTCATTCTATTTTGCCCCTTTTCTCTTAAATGAAAAAAACCACCTCAACCCCCCCTCTTCTCCCCTCTGATTAAACTTTTATTAACCCCACACCTTTTTCCTAATTTCCACACTCCAATTTTCTGCATAATATTTATACCACACATTCCCCTTAAAACAGGACTCTCCACTCCTCCACCTCTCCTCGCTGCTGCATTTACCACCCAACTTCACCCCCATATAAGAGGTTGGTACTACTTATTTTCATCATTCCCTTCTTT